AAGAGTATCAATTAAATATTATTCCCTTTATATGGTTTGGTTAATTTGATCATCTTACTTAATCTGAAAATAAACAGAGGATATGTCAGCATGGAGAACGGATGAAGAATTTGCAAGGGAAATGTTAGCTGGAGTAAACCCTGTGGTTATTTGCCTCCTTGAGGTAAATTTAAAATAGTATATAATGGTTTGAGGTTTTATTTATTTATTTATTTATTTTTGAAAGGTTTGATTTGGTGGAAATTGATTGTAGGAATTTCCTCCAACAAGCAAGCTAGACCCTGAACTATATGGTGACCAGAGTAGCTCAATTAACAAAAGCCACATTGAAAAGAACCTAGACGGGCTCAGCACAGGAGTGGTAATTACTTTGAAATTTATGATGAACTTGTCTTAAAAGATGAACCATTCTAAGGGAGAATTATTATTATTTTTTCGGTTAAACAGGCATTGGAGGAGAATAGGCTATTCATATTAGATCATCACGATCCGTTGATGCCATACTTGAGGAGAATAAATACTACTTCGACAAAGACATATGCATCTAGAACACTCCTCTTCTTGAAGGATGATGGGACTTTAAAGCCGCTGGCTATTGAGTTAAGCTTGCCTCATCCTGAGAAAGATCAACTTGGTGCTATTAGTAAAGTGTACACGCCAGCTAAAGACGGTGTTGAAGGCTCAATGTGGCAACTGGCAAAAGCTTATGTTTCTGTTAATGACGCTGGCTATCATCAACTCATTAGTCACTGGTACATCCTTCGACAAGTAAAAGATATAGTCGAATTTATTATTTGACTTTGACTAATAAGCATCTAACTTTTGGTCACAGGTTGCACACTCATGCAGTGATAGAGCCATTTATTATTGCAACAAATAGACAATTGAGTGTACTTCACCCAATCCACAAGCTTCTTCATCCTCACTTTCGCGACACAATGAATATCAATGCACTTTCTCGGCAAGCGCTCCTTAATGCTGGTGGACTTTTTGAGGCTACTATTTTTCCTGCCAAATATTCCATGGAGTTATCGTCTTTTCTTTATAAGAAATGGGTTTTTACTGAACAAGCACTCCCTGAAGATCTCAAGAAGAGGTAACTATTCTATTTAGTTATGTATCTATACTTAATTACTCACCCAATCTTTAAAACTTGTTCTTATTAAAGTTTCAGGATCTTAAAATATATAACTAGAACTATAAACAACTTTCCCCTCTCTTGATAGGATAAATCACTTCACAATTTGTTAGCAAAAATATTTTTGATTTAGGAAAAATATCTAACTTTGCTTAAAACTATTATCTATATGATATCATGAATTACCTCAAGAAATAAATTAAGATGTTTGTGGTGTTAATTTTATGTCAATGTAATTGACGTTGTTTATGCTTTATACAGAGGAATGGCAGTCGATGATCCAAATTCACCACATGGTGTAAGTTTACTGATAAAAGATTACCCGTATGCTGTTGATGGACTTGAAATATGGTCAGCTATTAAAATGTGGGTAAGAGATTATTGCAACTTCTATTACAAAACTGATGAAATAGTTCAAGAGGACATTGAACTCCAGACTTGGTGGAAAGAGCTTCGAGAGGAAGGTCACGGTGATAAGAAAGACGAGCTGTGGTGGCCTAAATTGCGTACTTGTGAAGAGCTGGTGAACATTTGCACCATTATTATATGGATAGCATCTGCACTTCATGCAGCTATAAACTTCGGACAGTACTCTTATGCAGGGTACCTCCCTAACCGCCCTACTATAAGCCGTAGATTCATGCCAGAGGTAGGGACCCCTGAATATGATGAACTCGTGTCCAACCCAGAACATGTTTTCTTGAGAACCATCACCTCACACCTGCAAACTGTTCTTGGCATGTCACTCCTTGAACTTTTGTCAAAACATTCCTCGGACGAAATCTATTTGGGACAAAGAGATGCACCAGAATGGACATCTGATGCAGAACCTTTGGGGGCATTTAAGAAGTTTGGAAAGAAACTAGTCGAGATTGAAGAAAAAATTCTAGAGAGGAACAATGACAAGATGTTGAAGAACCGTATTGGTCCGGTCAAGATGCCATACACCTTGCTTTACCCAACTAGCGAAATCGGAATTACTGGCAAGGGAATTCCTAATAGTATTTCAATATAAAAATTCTTTGTGAGTCATGTAGATTATTATCGTTCTTTTAGTTTTTTGTATTTTTTAATATATTTTTTCCTTCTAGGTCTTTTTCAATTATAGGTTTGGTGCTTGTAATGTTACAAATACGTGTATATACTTAACAAACATTAATAAAAGAAATCTACAAGTAACGTGCATTACAATCTTGGAAGCTCATATTTAATTGAATCAAATGAACAATAAAATGAACAAACATTTATTCTTCACATATACTTATACTTAAACCTTTGTATATGTACTTATAATAACAGAGCAATTTACAACATTAAAAAAGCTATAAAAGAGAATGAAAGTAGGTTTCAATTCTAACCATCATAAAATCAACATCATAAAACACTAGTGTTTTTCACCAATTTCTAACCATCTCCTCATCCCTTTTTCTTTTATTTTTCTATAAGCACCAAAAATTTCCTACTAAGCCTCCTCCTACTTGCTCAACCTTTAATCCTCGTGCTCTCTCTTGCATCAACAACTCTTTGGTTGATATTTATGAATTTCTTCTTTAGCTTAAACTCTCCTTTTGCATATTGACTTTCCTACGAGCATAATAAAATTATTAAAATGACAATCTACTTAAATTCATCAGCCCTTGCTTCTCTATCTTTCTTCTTTTAGTATCGGTCGCTTCAACACAGGACCTCGACCACCATTTTCCATTGCTACACTACTTGCCCTTGCTTTTTCTCAATCAATATAGATATCAAAACTCAAAACTATCTTACTCCTTCGTGACCCTCCCTTTTGTCATGGTTTAAAAATGAGAAATAGAAATGATAAAACTTAAAAATTAAAAAGATGAAAATTAATGAGTAGAAAAAAAAATTTAAAAATTATTTTTTCATTATTCTCAATCAAAGGAGTCCACATAAGCGATGAAGCATGTAGTTTAATTCGATGTAAAGCAAAGAAATTTATCAAAATTTGACATGTTGTGAATCTTCTTAAAAGAGATGGATGACTTTAATAATATAAACATAGCTAGTATATGATTGTCGTCAGCTCGTATAGTAAAATATTAAGTCCCAAAACAAGTACAACCCTTACATTTAGTTTCTTCGTTGTCAAGACTTTAAAAACACACTTCTAAAATACCAATAGGCATTGAAGCAATAGAGTGAATATTAGAAAGTGAACTTTAAAACAAATTTTATTCAAAATAATGACAAATATTTTGAATTTTTTTGTATTAAAACTTTTTTTTCATAAACAATAAAATAATAAGAATGTTAAATATGTACTATAGAGATTGTCGTTCAAAACAATATCGGAGATATTTTGAAAATGTATTATTTTTTTGTTTAAAATAATATGTTTTAAAAAATTTTAAAATAAATTAGTTTATTATTATCCTTAAAAAGAAATTTATTCTTTAAATTTTTAATGAAACCCAATAAAAACATAAGCTTGGCCTTCCATAGCCTCAGCCAACCAACTTTAACCAACAAACACCTCAGAGTACCAACAGATGAGACTCTGGGCCCTGCAACTCTTCACT